ACAACACTTTTATGATCAATTTTTATCCATGCTGAAAAATAATCTGTTTTATTCTAGATATATGCACTGGCTTCATCATTTAATCTGATATTTTTGTTTCAAATATTCATATAAACACTTAATATAACAAAAATCTCTGTACAACTGATTCTTATCTAAATTATCTATATGAAATACATTATCAATATCTAAACATCCTCCTAAGTAAGAAAATAAAATGATTGTATATGAAAAAATAATAAAATTTTCAAATGACGCACTATTAGTATCGAAATAAGATTTAATATAATCGATTACTATATCGATAAATAATTCAAATGCTTTCATTAATCATTCACTTTTGCTTTCATCAGTTTCTTTTGTTTGTTTTCGTACTAAACGTATATTATTGCCAAAATACGTGACGAATAGCTTTTGACGTAGTTTGATGATCATTCTGGTAATTATAAAGTGAACATCAGCTATGTTGTCATATATGAAAGTTGTAATTGTACTACAGCGTTTTGAATATCAATGTGAGCCTTTCGTTGCGGAGAAAGAATATCAAAGTCTTCTATCACTGTATATCACTCAGGCTAAATCATATACACTTTACGGGCGTTGTCTGCCGCACAAAACGAAGGTTCATGTAAAAGACGATCTATCATAACTGATATTTTGGTGATATTGAAATAAGTTTCACTAGTTTAATCGTTGCGATATTTTATTTTGAAAGAGAATAAAATAATCTTAGTTCACAACCAAAAATATTTATATAATGATAAAAGATGAGAAATGATTCAGAAGAAAAAAAAGTTAAGAATAACAACAACAGAGAGGAGAAGGCCAAAGAGAGGACAACAAAGAGGTTGAGAAAAATCAATAAAAAAGAAAGTGAAAAAGTAAGCATTGTAGAGTAGCATCTATTCACACTAGTGTGTTTCACTATCATCTTAGGTATTTCATTCCATTGTCTATATTGTGAATCGATAATTTTGAAGGACTGCTCACCATCCACACTTCAGCATAACGAGTTACTAAGTGGATTAACCATCATTGGTTATCTTGAATGTTTCTCTCACGAATTCGAAAACTATAGACACTATTTTTATTGAGATGACGCTATGATCTTTTTAGTAATCAATCAAAAAAGTACTGTTAATCGATAAATGCACATGTAGTCTTGTGCTGTAATAGTCTGATATGCCTTCTTTTTGCCATAAACATTTATCGGATTGCTCAAATGAAGGGATACATTAACTAATTAATGTTCAGATAGCAGCTGTACTGTAGAAGCTTGAACTTTCCATTCATAAATACTAAGATCACCAATGCAGATGCTAAAAATCGATTAATGTGGTGCAGATGTTGCGCCTTGAATAATGACTCGAAACTGGGGCAAATTATTTAGACATTTGAATACAAGCAAACTAAAACATTATTCACAAATGGATAGTTCAATCTGGAAATTGTATGATGCATAATCATTTCCTATCTAATTTGAAGTACGAATATATCAAGAGTTAATTTCAATGCAATACCCATTTGAACTTCTTTAAATTAGTTGTTTGCTTATATCATACTTTACTTTCATCTTTAGATGCATTCAAAGTATTCGTAATACTGATAATCAATAGGCAACATATAGTGAGAAGACGAAAACCAAACTGTAAACAACGATGCAGCAATATTTATCCTTGTATCGTTTGCGATTTAATAATACTTTCCCGATGATTATTACAGATGCCATCCAGTTCTGTATTTATAATATAAATCATTACTAGAAAAGAATCAATTAAAATATTTTTATTATAATACTAGACACATGAACATATATTTATAAAGTGCCGAAAATTCAAAATTAAAGCAGAATTTTTTTTTTCTTTTTTTTTTTATATATGATTAGGTAAAGGGTGATCAACTGATGAAGTAAATAGATATTTCCGTTTTTTGGAATAAGTTTTTGAGGGGACTTCTAATGATCTGCTTTTATTAAAAATAAGTCAACTTTTTATATTTCACAAATTGTCAATTATTTCGATTCCTTCAAATTTCAAAAATGTTTGTTTCAGATTCAGCATCAAAAACTGAATCTAAGAAGGTCATTAAAATGATCTTCTTAGATTCAGTTCTTCATGCTGAATCTGAAATCAATGCTTCTAAAATTTGAAGAAAACAAAAAAATCAAACTATTTTTCACAAAAAATAAGTCATTGGCACAAAGTGAAATTTTTTCTCTAAAACTAATTGAAAAAAATGAAAACACATGTATTCTTGATTGCCTTGTCACCCTCTATGTAATGACACATGAAAAAAGAGAGAAAAAAATTCTTCTTGAATTTTGCATTACCGGCACCTTATATATAATATTCTCTCATGTTTTTTTTAATCGCTTCGGGGTGCTTGGTATTAGCCTGAACAAATCGATTAGCAAGAATGGTACAATTGAAGAATGAGGTCACATCAACATCTCTAACTCATTATATACAACGTACATTCTCCGATGGACAAAAATAAGTTGCTTTTTCAATTGTTTTTTCGTTTTTCACTTTCTCTTGTGTTATTATATAAACATGTTTATGTTATTATATAGGT